AAGTGCTGGGATTATAGGCGTGAGCCACTGTGCCTGGTGACTAGTCCATTTTTATTTACTATTGCCACTAAATGCCACACATTAGTTACATGACTTTGGCTGACCTTCTGGCCTAGGAGTTGTACTATATAATCTTTAAGAATTTTTTCCAAATCTAAAAGTCTACGGTTCTAAGATTTAAAAGAGGGAAACAGTGACAAAGAATACAAATATTAAAATGTATGAGACAGCTGATACAGATGATACTCTTTATTTACTTAAATTTTTAGCCCTCTACTTATGAAGAAAAATATCCAGAGGCAGAGGACTCAGTGCTAGCAATACAACTTCTTGATTCAGTAAGGCTACAACTAACAATCTGGTAACATTTCAAGGGTTTCTCCGTTAGGTGCTACCTAGAACATGGAACATACATTTTTTTCAATGAAATGATGTGACATAGACTGGTTAGGCTTTTAGGCAAATTCACAAAAGTTTACCCTTTGGGCAGGTAAACTGCCGGACACTTGATAAAAAATAGAAAACAGATATTTTTGTTTTGCCAAACTAGTGATTCAGCAAAAATAACATCAAAATGAAACACCAGAAAATTTGTCTTGAAACCTATTTTTCACAAAGTCAACCAAAAGATCCACTGGCCTGATTACACTAGTGATCCTTTTAGTAACTAGATTATAATAGCTCACTCCTTAAGTCCATGGGTCCCAAGTTAAGGACCTTTGCTTAAATAAAGTGAGCTGGCCTTACTAGGTTCCAGGTACCAGCGACAGACACTAGGGTATCAGAGGTTTGTCAAAGCCCAAAGCTAGGAAAACAGCACAGAGCCAGAGAGAAGAAGGGAGCCTTTCTCTGAGCCTTCCCCTGACACCAGTGGAAAAGGAACTTAGTGAATGGAGTGTTCTCTTCACATCTCAGCTCCAGGATTCCCTGGACCATATTTGGGAATTCAGTGGCAGCATAGTAAACAAACAAACAAAAAAAAACCTAAAAACTGGGGAGGTATGCTTCCTGAGGCAGGGATTGAGAAAAGCAACAACTTGCCAGGCACGGTGGCACAAGCCTGTAGTCCCAGCTATTCAGAAGGCTGAGGTGGGAAGATCACTTGAGGCTGCAATGCATGGTAATAACCACGCACGTCAGCCTGGGCAATAAAGGAAGGCTCCCATCTCTAAAAATTTCTTTAACCACCATGCCAAGTAATGGATACCAGCTGCTGTCTGCAGCAGCCCCAATTCTGACTGTGAAGAGGCTGCCTGCAGGAATGTATGCTCCTCGCTCTTACTCAAGCCCCCTTTCAACCCACTGAAGGATGTATGATTTATGATGTCCAATACACACGCGTGTTCACAAGTCTGTGGTATGTAACTGGTGGGTGCCTATCTTTATCGTCTGCTAAACCTTGAAATATAAAAATCAAATGAATTTTCATCTCTCCTGGGAAAGACTCCTTGCTGTACTTAAAAATTTATAATGATGGAAAATGTCCTTGTTTAAATCTGTATTTTGGGCAATTCCGATTTTTAAGTAATAAGTATTTCCTTATGATCACTGTGGAAAACAATGACCCATATATCTAATTTGGATAGGTTTAAATATCAAAGGGTCTCAAAAGGTATGCACCACTCTAATTTCCTAAAAGCTGTTAATCCAGTCAGCCCTTAGCACCTTCCCTGGTAGTAGGTCACGTTAAAACTGAAATCGGCCAGCCACAGTGGCTCAGTCCTGTAATCCCAGCACTTTGGGAGGCAGAGGCTGGTGGATCACCTGAGGTCAGGAGTTCAAGACCAGCCTGGCCAACATGGTGAAATCCCATCTCTACTAAAAACACAAAAATTAGCCAGGTGTGGTGGAGGGTGCCTGTAATCCAAGCTACTCAGGAGGCTGAGGCAGGAGAATCACTCAAGCCTAGGAGGCAGGAGGCAGAGGTTTCAGTGAGCTGAGATCACGCCACTGCACTCCAGCCTAGGCCAGAAAGTAAGACTCCATCTCAAAACAACAACAACAACAACAACTGAAATCACACTTTTGTTCTTACTCAAATATTGTAACAAAGAATAAGCAGCAAGAATTTAGTATGTCAGGACAAAGTATACAGATGGTCCCCAACTTCCTTACGATTTCTTGATTTTACAATGCTGCAAAAGTGATATGCATTTGGTAGCAACTGTAATGAGTGCTCATACAACCATTCTGTTTTTCACTTTCAGTGAAGTATTCATGAATTACATGAGATATTTTGACACTTTATTGTAAAAGAGGGTATTAGATGATTTTGCCCAGATGTTGGCTAATGTAAGCGTTGTGAGCACGTTTAAGGTGGGTTAGGCTAAGCTACAATGTTTGGTAGGTGCATTAAACACATTTTTGACTTACCCTATTTTCGACCTACAATGGGTTTATCAGCACATATCTCCTTCATAAGCTGAGGAGCATCTGTATATACTAAGCTTTTAATTAATTATGTTTCTGAATGTACAATAGATCTGCAATATATATGGATTTCATACACTAATGGGATCTTTCAAGTCCTTAAGTACAGTATATCCAAATGTGACAATTAATCATGATCTAAATTGAGAGTTTGGATTCTACCTGCATACAAATTACTGCCAGGAAGGGAAGCATGGGTAATGCACAATTAGCTATCGGCATTGTGGAACTCAGCAGCTGACCACAGCACCCAGTTCTTTTACTTTACTTGTATGTGGTGCCTTTTCTTCAAATTAAATCCAACTTTCCTCCCCTGGCCTCTTATTGTTGCACTGCAGACACCAACTTTATTTCTTCTGGCGGAAAATTCTGTGGCTGCCTGAACATAACACCGTCAATGTTACCCATAGCAAAGTATTGGAAAATTCAATGAAAAGGATCACTTAAAAAGTCATGTAATAAAGCTTGCTTTTTAAACTTTAAGCCTACTTAGTGCAGAAGTGACTTGGCGGAGATCCAAAAGATGCTTCAGATCTCCCCCGTTTCTTTGAGGCAGTTACCAGTAACCCATCTTCCCCCATTAATACATATGCATCCAAAGTGCAAAAAGAAGAAATTTGTTAAAAAAAAAAAAAATCAGCCGGGCGCGGTGGCTCAAGCCTGTAATCCCAGCACTTTGGGAGGCCGAGGCGGGTGGATCACGAGGTCAAGAGATCGAGACCATCCTGGTCAACATGGTGAAACCCC